TTTTTTTTTTTTTTTTTTAAACCAAAATGCAATGACCTAATAGTAAGAGCACCATCGTTGGTATTAGCAGGTATATGAACTCCATATTTAATACATATTCAAAAATAGAGCAACTATTGTTAAAATTCTTGTAGTGTTAAGTAACTTTTACATTTCCTGCAACAGGCAGATGTTAACAAAGATGCTATAGACTGAAAATCATATACATGTCTCTTATTAATAAAAACCTTGCAGTGATTTTACAACTGTTTGCTTCAGAAGGGCTCCTTCTGAATTCAGATATGTGAATTCTGATGAACCCTTTCCTCATCCCAACCTCCATCCTCACTATCCTTAGTGTCTGCACCTATTTAGACAGACACAAACAGGAGAAACTTTTAAGATGTGAAGCTAACACATTCACTCTTCTTTTTCTCTTTTTTTATAATGACTATGTATTTATTTTCTAGGTTTCTTACTTCCGGTCATGACGAAATAATGGTCATCATCTTCCTTTTTCTTTGCAGTAGGTTTTTTATCTCCACTATCTGCATCCTTAACAGATAAGGGTGGTTTCCTGGTTGAAGCTGGGGTTTTGCCACTTTTGGGAGGCCCTTTAGTTGAATGCTGGCCCTTAGCGACAGTCTGTGCTGCCTTCGGCGCAGTTTGTGTTTTGGTAGAAGACTGGGGAAGGCTCACGATGGACAATGGGGTCCGGCCAGGAGACTTCGAGGAGCTGGGTTCTGTCTTCTGAAAAGTACTTTTACTCTGAGGCTGCTTTTTGGTAACTGAAACTATATTCTTATCTTTTGATTTCTGTGTAGCTTTTCCAGGAGAAACTGAGGACACAGAAACTGGCTGATTTAAATTCAAGGCCGATTTAAGTTTCTGTGCTGGGACTGGCCTTGCTTGTGGGGCACCATCGGATGGTTGAGACTGTGTTCCTAGACCCGTGGCTATGTTTTTGGAACTGGATTTTGTCATTTTTGCAGAGGACTGGAAAGAAGGTTTAGGTCTTACAGGTGTATTTGCTTTAGGTAGCTTGGGACACTTTGAGGATGAATTTGAATGTGCAGCTAAGTGAAATACTGCACTATCTCTGGAAGAAATATGATTATGTTTCAAATACTTAGGTTGAGTTTTTCCAGAACACTTATTTGGCAAAAGTGTGGACTCAGGCACATCTGTTGAATTCTGGGCTGGAATAACCTTGGCCTTAGGGGTACTGGGGGATGCAATACATTTTCTTGGTGACTCAGATATACAAGGTGCAGTTCTTGGTAAAGCTGGTGAAGAAGTGTTTTTACCTACTGGATTTAATGAAGCAAGTGAAGATGATGCATTATTTGAAGAAGGCTGCGGTTTCTTTGTTATGCCTCTTGAAGACTTGAGCTTGGGATGAGACGATGCTGCGGGAGAATGTGGCGATTTAGAACGGACTGACATAGGGCCCAGATTAGCTCCTTTCAGTGAAGATGGTGGCACCAATGCACCTGGTGGACGTCCCTGTTTTTCCTTGCTTTTTGGAATACGAACTGGCATGCTGGGTTTTGAATTTTGTTTCTGAAACATGTTAACTGCTGACAAAGGATTCATTTCAGGAGGCTGAGGTGTTCTGGCGGGCGAATCAGGTACACTTTCATTAGAAACTCCTTTTTGAAATGCTAAAATTTTTTGTTCCAGTGTGGCAAACTGTAATATTCGACAGGGGTCATATTTAAGCAAAAATCCTTGAAGAGTATCCCAGCCTCCACCAACGCGAACCATGACATGTTTTCCATGAAGCATCTGCCCCCAAAAGGAAAATAAAAAGTAAAGCTGTAATACTGTGAGATTTACAGTTACAATTCATTAGCAGTTACAATATGTGATGTCTGAGATCTATGAAATTCAGAGCCATTTGCCAACAGCCTCACTACAAATTGACAGTTTCTTTCTTGTTATTAATATAATAAATTTAACTCACATCGAATTATGCAACTAACGATGCAAAATCTTCCTATTTGTGGGCCGGGCGCGGTGGCTCACGCCTGTAATCCCAGCACTTTGGGAGGCCGAGG